TGAAATCATCCAATGTCACATTGTCGGGCAACATGCTAACACATATCATATGAAAGGACTTCAAATGCTTTTGAGGATCTTCTCTATCCAACCCATGGAACTTGGTAAGTTGATGGATGAAACTTGACTTCAATTCAATCCCTCGGCGGTTTGCGGGATAAACAATAGCAAGAGGTGTATGAGTAACATCCGTTTCCATCATTTGTCTAAGTGTCAACTCTTGAGGAGGATTGGGTGGATTGGGGTTATTGGGATATTGTTGCAAGTAATTGGGTGGTTGTTGGTAAGGTGGATATGGGTATTGTTGGGGATTGTAGATTGGTGGTGGATAAGGTTGGTAGTTAGGGTATTGGTTGTAAGGAGGTTGTTGTTGTGGGTACATTGGGTTTTGGTACATTGGAGGGGGTTGGTAATTGGGTTGATTTGGGTAATGTACTTGTTGAACTTGAAAAGCATTGTTTTGAGGTTGGTTGTTTTGGTGGAAGTGTTGGTTTTGTAGTTGTGGTGGTGGTTGATAATTGGGTTGGTTTTGAGGAGGGGCTTGATTCCAAGGTGGCATATCAATGAGAGGTTCTTGTGGTTGTTGTCTTGGTTGATGGGGTGGGGTATTGGCATCTTGTTGATTGGGTTTGGGTTGGGATTATGAGGTGGAGTGTGATTCATGGCTATGTGGTTTTCAAATGGAATGTCTTCAAAGGAATGACCAACAATTGGAGAACTCGGTTCGGTGTCGGTATCACTTGAAGTATGAACTTGATCTTCTATGTTGATTAGTGGAGAAGAGGAAGAAGCTTGAACTAGTTGTTGTTGCTTTGCTTGTTTGGCTAACTTTTTCAACCTTTTTGCTTCTCTTTCAATTTCCGGATTGTAGAGTAGTTCACCGGTTCTTGTAGACCTAGGCATAAACAATCAAATAACAAAAACCAATTTCCCCGGCAACGGCGCCAAAACTTGATTGGGATGTCAAGCCCACCAAGCAAATTACACCCTTTGATTGCTAAATAAACGTAATATAATGGTAAAAAGGGGTATCGATCCTCGGGGAAATGGTTGTATTCAATCACCAATGCAATTCAATAGAACTAGTGAAATTAAACTAACTAACTACAATTAAAATAAAAGGGGGTGTTTGATTACTTGAAACTAAAATACTTGAATAACTAAAAACCTTGCAATTAAGCAAGTTGATGAGATGCTCAAAGGTTGGGAATAATTGGTTAACTAAGGCAATTCAACACAATGAACATTTGTGTGTTTATCATTAGGATCTAATACAAAGCTTATCCTTCATCCCAAATTGGTTATAGCAATCATGAAGCATGATATGCCAAGATTCCTCATAGGTAGTATGGAGGTTGGGGAAGCCCACACACACCTTCTTAATTAAGATCAAGGGTCAATTGAAGCAATTAATCCCAAGAAATCAATTAGCCTTAAGAATGAAGGAATCCCCAATTCCTAGAGGATGTCAAATGCTTACACATCCATAAAGGAGATATGATTCATAAGCTAGAGATGATTTCTACCATCATAAAGCCTTTGTTCTAGATAAATTCAATGATCCAATGCAAAATCAATGAAATAAATCAACTATTGCTCAATCAAATACTAAGCTCATGATCAAAGTATCAAATAAGCATAAGAATTGCAAACTAGAATCATAAACATGGAATAAATTGATAATCAACATAAATCCTTCAAAACCCACAAACATTCATTGGTTTTCAGCCAAAGTCAACCAAATAAGAGTATTAGCCACTCATGGCAACAAAGTAACAAGAACAATAATCTAATTGCATAAAGAAACTACCTAAGATTTGGAAAGATGAAAGGAAATGGTTTCTAGCTCCCAAAATCGCCTCTTGCAGGTCTCTAATGGTGGAAAAACGTGAATGAGCCTCCAGATCTGATCCCCAAGGGTTATGGCAAGCCAAATGACCAAAATGCCCAAACTGGGCAGTTGCGCGGGTACCCGCGCGACGGAAATTCCACCCGCGCAAATGTTGCTGTAATGCTATTGGTCCACCAAGCCACTCCACCCTTCCACTACCAAAGATTCCTTTGGTCCCCCCTCCTTGTCCATGTAATTTGAAATGCACCAATCATCATTTAGCCACCAAATGGATGCTCCAAGCCCAAAATTTGAATTTTATGATCCATCTTCACAAGCCCAAATAATCCAAGCCAATATCTTTCAAAGCCCAATTCTTCCTCTTTGATTCCGCCAAGCCCAATAATGCCTCGGGAGCCCACTAAGCCCGTCTCCAATCAACCCGCAACCGCAACAAGCACCGAAAAACCTACAAAATATCTTATGCAACATAACAAGCACCCGGTACGATCCATACTAAAGAAAAATAAATAAAATACAATGCATTAATGATAAAAAAATCTAAAAATCTAAAATAAACTAATAAAAATAAGGAAATAAAATAAGCTATCAAAACACAAAACCAAAAGTCCCCTTGTTTGCTTGCCTAAATTAAATATCGTTTTAGTTAGAGTGTGCGTTGGTGCGCTTTTTTGTGTGGCTAATATTGCACCAAAAATCGTATAGATCAATTTTTTGCTTTGTTAAAAAGTCCAAGTGTGGTTTGAGGTTTTAGACGTGGTTTGGTTTCTATTTGGTTCGATTTTGTTTATAAACCACAATAATCATGATATGGTTTCTTTTGCTAAAAACACAACATTGGTTGACTATAATCATATTTCTTTGTCTTATAGTAAGTGGAACACAAATATAAAGCGAATATTGTTAGATTTTGGGGTCTTGATAATTCCTAGGATCGTGATTACAATCACTTTCCAAAATCTATTATTTCGACCTTATAGCCTAGGGTGTCACAAAATCAGATTTGGGATAATCCAAGAATGAAATTTTGTAAGTCAGGCAATTTCTAAATCTGAAGCATAGAAAGTACCTTGCTATTTTGTGTTTGGTGAATTAAAGAGAACCAGATGAAAAAAATTTAAAGTGTAGTGAAAGTAACCCTTTTTTGGAACATGAAAAGTGTTCTTACACAAGAGGAAAATATAGTTAATGGCGGTTACATGTAGTTTTGGCCCCCAAATAATGGTTAGAAATATGGTTATTTAGACATAACCGAATCTGACATCATCGTGATGTCACAACCTATTTTGGAGGGAATTTGCTGTTGGATTAGGTGTCTAAATCCATAACTATAATTGGTATATACTTGAATTGATAGTAGCACAGTCCTTTTAGGTTCCCTCAAAATTAGCAATTTGACAGAATGATTTTTTGGAGAGAATTGTTGAATTTATTATTTGATTAATAAATTGAAATAAATGATTTGTTAATATATTATGAGAATAATATATTAATTAGAAATAGTAATATTTAATCATAATTTAATTGGAATTAATTTTGGGATTAAAGGAATTAATTAATAGTATAGGGACTGAATTGTAATTGTTTAATAGTTGAGCAAGAGGCAATCTAAAACCCTCCATAGATCCATGTACGGTTTCTTAGGCTTAAGGGTTCTAGAATAATCCCTAAATGGATAATTAGGAAAGTGGATAATTACCCGATTTAAGATAATCATGGATTTGGGTTTATCTAGTGTTTCCTGATTGCACTATAAATAGGGTATAACCCTTTGATTTTCGGCCAACAGATTCCACAGAGGATTAGGCCGAAAATTTCATCCTCTCTCCTCCTTCTTTATCAACATTCTTTGCTAGTGTTGGGTGTGAACCATTAGAGGCGCGACATTTGTGGCGCTTGTTCTCAAGGCTTTAACAACACAAGGTTTTCATTGTTATTACTATATAACAATTGAGGTATGATTTTTCTTAACCCTAATTATGTATTTTGATTATATACTAGTGTACTAGGGTTTCTACTACGTTGTTCAATTTGTATGCTCAATTAAAGAAAACATAGATCAATTTATTTAGGGTTGCATGCACACATAAGATTGTTTGTTATGTTCAAAACCCATCATTTGCATGTCTGGACTCCTTCCGGATATAGACATAACCGCTAGGGGCTCTGCCCTTTGGACCCCACTAGGAGCGTTGCCCCTTGGAACCCTTGTACCCATGTGCGCTACCCTCTGACCCCCATATTCATGAGTTCACATGTATCATCCCGAGTGTGAACCCCGCACTTCGAGCCTCAGTGAATAAATATAGCTCAACATATCTCAATATTAATAGCAGCTACACTAAAATATGTTGATAACACTAAAATTACCAACAAATATGTGGCGAGTTAGTGGCTAAAATGCTAGAAAATGTCGAACTACATCCAAAACATATTTGAGATTACTTAAAGTAATATTTCTATGGTCAAATATACATTTCATATGTCGTGAAACTAAATATTTCCAATATTTAGGCTTACTTGACGAGCTTAAGCATTTGTTATATGGATCTTGTTAAGAAAGGGTCGAGTAGAGCTAAATTTTGACCATTGCATCTACCTTCTTCTAGTCAGCTTCAATTGGTTGGCTTTTGAGTCGGATCGTCATATGTTGGATCAATATGATAAGGGCATCACACGCTTCACAACGGGTAGAGAACAACTATGGTTGCTCCTGAATCACCCATGATGAACACCGGATAAGGATAAAGAAATTTTAGGGTTTTTGTAGTCAGTATGAAGGAGCCATGGGTGCAAGAAAATGAGAAAGAAGGAAAATGAGAGAAAATAGGAGAGATTTTAAGCAATATTGGAATAATGCTCTGATACCATTTTGAGGAATGATCTTGAATTCAAATGAGAGTTACTAGAGATTAAATACATGTACATATATGACCATGGGCCTAGACTATACAATGCTGAATGTACAATGTGGGATAATCTACAATATACACTAACATCTACGTCAACCGTTGCCTTGCCTCCCCAAAGGTACCATATATATATATATATATATATATATATATATATATATATATATATATATATATATATATATATATATATATATATATATATATATATATATATATATATATATATATATATAGTTTGGAAGCTCCCCCTGTAAAAACTAAGGTCAACAATAATATCATAGAATATTTGTGTATTTGTTTGCATCTTTACATATTGACCCTAATGTCAAAAATAATATCATAGCACTTAATAGACTCAGGAAGACCTTCTCCCCCGACAACCGAAGTAAAACCAAGAACCACTACTACAAATCTGAAAGAAGTATTGAAACAAATTGATGGTGGGCATAACATGAGAAGCATGCCACAACTCAAAGCAAATTATATTGGATATGGAGTTGGGCTTGAGTTGACATGTATGAATCCTATAGGCTTTAATAATTTGCCCAAAAAAGGAGAAGGATGAACCCTTAAACATGCCTCAGAGTAGTAAAGGTAAAAAACGATCTTACCAGAAGGGGGATGATCGATTGTAGCGACACTACTGGGGATTGAAACAACGTCTTCATCGACAAGATGATGCTTCTTGGAAATTTGAGCCAAACACAGTTGAAGTTAACGTAGTCATAGTAGAGCAAAATATTCTTTAATAAAGAAGGTGAAGTAGCAAGAGTAAAAAGAATAACTGACGAAGTAATGTGGGAACAACAGATGTGATGGGCATTTATATGTGTCTATCTTTTGCAGCGTGCCATTCAAATTGTGCATTAGATGAGGATACATCCAATTTGTTATCAGGCATCTCGAAGGCCATGTAGCAACAATTATTAATATTAGTCTTTTATGTTCTTAAATATAAGCCTTTTTACACCAACTAACAAGATTCCGTGACTTCATATACCAAGAAATGAAAATCAGTATGACCTTTATAGGAAATTCTTATTCTATTAATTATGATGAAACTTCCAGAAATCCCTTCTTTTGAAAACTTTTGATGCAGTCATCAAACATTTGCTCAAGTGATTTAAATGGAGGTAGCCCCAGTTGTAATATCTTGCTACTATCCATGCTATGTGGGTTGTCGTCCCCTTTCCGACTGCTACACCTAATTAATAGCATCCATATTAATTCAGTAATTAACTAGCATTCAACATCTAATACTTGATTTCCTGAAAAATAAGAGATGTATGTGTGCTTACTTGTCTATATACGGATAAAATGGGTATTTTGATTTAAGCATCTGAATAACTTCAGACCAGTGAGCCACTGTGCTTGAACATATGAGTCTGCCTTCAGCCTCTTTTTCCTCCATTGCTAAAATATGAGCAGCCACAACGTCTTCTATGTGCACAAATCCTACTGTTGTGTTCGGGTATTCCCCTACTTTTCCTGATATCAAAGTGTTTGTGAAATACAATATCTTATCGATCCATCGTACCTTGCTTTTTGTTACAAAAAACCTTATTTGTTTTTCCAAAAATTGCATAAAGAACATTACAATTTTCTAGAATAAACAATTATGCTATACATAATGACCCCATTCACATATGACACAAATATCGAAAATGAGTCTCTGTTTTATTCTATCATGTCATGTCTTCATGTCATGTATATGCATCAAGATTTACTAACCAAGATTGTTTCTTTTAGTACCTGTAATATAGGCCAGTATCATTAGAAGTGTACTCGTTGGTTGTGGTGCTAACAATGGGCCCACCACATAAGAAGGGTTCACGACAACTAGATCGATCCCGTTTTCCTTTGCTACATCCCATGCATCTTTCTCTGCTATTGTCTTTGCATATGCGTACCAAAGCTGGATGTAATGAAGAACATAAAGAGTTTAAATGACGATAATGAAGACTAAGTTTATAGCTTATGCTGAAGTTTGCTTATATATGTAAATGTTCCATTACGTTGTATTCTTTGCAGTAGTCAATGTCGCTCCAATGCGATTCATTAAGAGGAGAAACTTGTTGGACGTCATAACGGTATCGTATTGAAGAGCAAGATGACGTGAGCACTACCCTTTTCACACTTTTTGCCTTCTTGCATGAGCTTAGCACATTCATGGTGCCCTTTATGCATGGATCAATTAGTGTTTCCTGAAAATCATAGTAATTTCATGTTCACCAAATCTTGTTATATGTTTCAGTGTCGCTTTTGTACATGAGTCAAGTTTGAGCTTTGAATAACTTTGTATAAAACCACAACTTGTTAATTTGCAACTTTATAACAAAAGTACAAACTTTCTATTGGTTTTTGATGTTGATGATTTTTAATTTAAACGTATATTTGCCTGGATATTGTTGTCTTGTGGAACAACCACCGGAGATGCAGTGTGGAAAACACCATCAACACCATCTATCGCTTGGTCAAAACTTCCTTCCTCCATCAAATTGGCCTTCATAAGCTTTAGTCGATCGTGGGCTCCTTCAAGCTCCAACAAGTACCCTACTTTCTCCACATTTTCTAATGAAAATTAAAACAAAAAGTTGCATAAAACGTCATCAGATTGCTGTACTTCTGTTCACTTGCGTACTTAAACAAAATAGCTTATCAATCACATGTTCATAGTCTTCCTTTATATTCCGACAACCTCAATATCTAATTAACGAATTAAATCTTGCCTTGTTTGCCTTATTTATTATTATTTTCTTTTTTGTAAAACTTTGTTCGTGATAATATAAATGAAGTACCTGGATCTCTGACAGTGGTTCGAACAGTATGGCCTTGTTCAAGCAACGACTTGACGAGGTACGCTGCTATGAATCCCGTGCCGCCAGTCACACAATATTCCGGCATATCTCCGTCGTCTACTTGTGCGATTGCAGCCTGAAACTTTATATGTTGAGATTCAAAGAGAGTGTGTCGTTTTGGGCAAATATTAAGGCGGCGCAAAGGGGCACAAATGTCATATATATAAAGAGTTGTAAACCGAGTATCTAGTACTAAGATATCATGTTACATTAGTTTGTATCTCGTGCAGTAGTAGTTGTACTATCGGTTGAAAATGGTTGTTGGTGGTGAGCAGGTGAGTTTTTGGTAATTAGAAAGTTAAGTATAGAAAAGGTCGGGGTGTCATGTGGGTTGTGTTTTCTATTATTAGTATTTGGTGATATATCAATGTCCGATGGTGCTTTGAATGATACCAAATTGTTGAAATTGCAAAAAACTGTCTTGTAATTGATGTCACTTGATAAATTTGTTAGTAGGGTTTTAGTTGTACAAAATAAATATATAAGCTCAACAATTTGTATGAAGATATTATTATTACCGGATATTGTATGTTAAACAATAGGGTTTTTTAATTAATTTATTTTTGTATAGATGCATATTAAAGATTTATTATATGCAATCAAAAGAAAAATGACGAATATCATACATAGTCAAATTGTTATCCATATATTTGCTTCTTTTATACTTACATTGTTTTTTTAAAATGTACCTTGTATTTTTATTTATATAATCAAACAGGGTCATTAGTTACCGAAGGCCCAAACCGTTGCTAATCCGCTGCTAACGGGTCTCCAATGGATCCTAATTCGTAGGTATATTCTTGTCGATAATTTTTGTGATGAAGTTTCTAATAGATACGACCTAATTTACCGACAGATTTTGCTGATCAGTAGCAGATTACTAATGGATATTGTGGTAACAAATTAGTGACAAATTCATTTAACGATGGTTTTGCCGACGGATTACAAAGCATTTACCGATGATTTTCATTTCTAAAAATAGCAATTGTATTAAAAAAAGTACATAAAATACCCACATTTTTTTCCTATACTAAATACACACGATCGTAATGAAAGAAACATCAAATTCAGAAATATCTAATAAAAACTTTTTAAACATAAATAATACCTTAAGAAACACTTCGCTTAGCCGGTTTAAGAATATCAAAATTCAAAGGATAATATCAGTTACAATACCCATAGTGGTATAGTCTAACTGCACATAGACGATTCAATACACTATTTTTCAAACCTGATGGATTTAAAAACCATAAAGACCACCCACCATAGGGCCTTTCCATATCTTCTCTATTGCACATACTTCACTTTGCAAGCCAAGTAGGCCAACTCCTTAACATATTTGAAATGTTTGCAAATTGCAAATGATATTTAATATTTAACTAAAGATTGGTATTTGGTAAATCCCTACAACTTAAGCATATATATATATATATATATATATATATATATATATATATATATATATATATATATATATATATATATATATATATATATATATAGCCTTCCTCGGTTGGAGCAGAAGGTGGCTGGATGCTCAAACTAGATCTGAAGTCAAGAAAGAATTGACGAGGGAGACATTTGGTGAAGATATATGCGTATTGCAAAGCGGAAGGAACGTGCATGACACGTATGTTACCAAGAGCTACTTTTTCCCAAACAAAATGAATGTCCATTTGAATATGTTTTGTCGGTTGATGATGGATTGGATTACCAGAAAGATAGACAACGGAAACGTTGTCACAATAAACCAAAGTTGCTTACTTTAATGGTGTGTAAAGTTCAAGCAAAAGATTTCTTAGCCAACATGTTTCAGCAACCATGTTGGCTACACCCCGATATTCAGCTTCAACACTTGATCGAGAAAGAGTAGGTTGTCGTTTAGCAGACATACGCAATAACGCGGTGTTGAGTGACGGGTGTTCAGACAGCCTCCCCAGTCGGCATCTGTGTAATAGATAAGCTGTGATGATCGAGACAGATAAATATGAAGTCTAAGGCCAAGTGTACCCTTAAAGTATCTTAAAACACATTTGATTGCATTAAAATGAGAATCTTGTGGGGCATGCACGAATAAACATATTTTTTGAACGGCATAAGCAATGTCGAGTCTTGTAAACGTGACATATTGAAGAGGTCTAGCTAAACTGCGATAGAGAGTAGGGTCGGTGAGAAGAGAACCGTCAGTAGCAATGAGTTTGGGGTTTGTGTCTATGGAAGTAGCGACAACTTTAGAGTTAAACATATTGGCCCGATGTAAAATTTCTTCCATGTACTTTGTTGAGTTTGGAACATATTGTTGGATAAGAAGAAGTGATGAGGACAATATCATCTACGTAGAGAAGAAACTTCGGTTATAAGAGCACCAATAATCTCGTCTTTGAGAGCATAAGAAGAAGTGACGAGGACAATATCATCTACGTAGAGAAGAAACTAGGCATACCCATGTCGACGATAAAAAATAAACAAGAAATTATCTCATTTGTTGCAGATGAAACCAAGGCGTAAAAGATAATTAGCAAACCGTTGATACCAACCCCACATGGCTTTTTTAAACCGTATAGGGATTTCCATAGTTTTCACACGTGGTACGGATATGATTGGTTAAATAACTCAGGCGGTCAATGCATGTACATTGTTTCCTTGAGATCGTTGTGTAGGAAAATTTGTTAACATCTAATTAATGTATTGGCCAATTCCGACCGATTACAAGACTGAGTACTGCACGTATTGTTGTAGGTTTAACAACAAGACTAAAAGTTTCAGCATAGTCAATGCCTTAAATCTGATAGTTTCCATGTATGACCAATCGTGCTTTGTACCATTCAAGTGTTCCGTTTGCATGGAATTTATGTCGAAAAATCCAACGACAACGCATGATATTTTCATCAGTAGGACGTGGTACCAAGTCCCATGTATCTTGTTTATGTAAAGTGTTAAACTCAACTAGCATGACATCATTCCAATTTTGATCACGTAAAGCGACTTTATGATTGGAAGGAATAGGAAAGATTTGTTAAGTATGAAGAGAGAAAAGATGTTTAGGTTTGATAGTTCCACCTTTTGAGATGAGTTTGCATAGGAAGATTAGAAGTGAAGGTGGTAGTGGTTGGTATGGGTGAGTTTGGTATAGAGGAAGGGAATGGTGATGAGGTCAATGGTGAATTAGCCATGGGTGAGTTTAGAGGTGATTGAAAAGGTGATGAAGAGGTGGTATGGGAAGAAGATGTGGGAGAGGGGATGTCGATTTGGATCAATGGGATAAGAGGAGGAGAGTGTTGTGTGGAATGATAAATAGTGTATGGTGAAGGTGGTATGACATTCAGAAAGTCATAAGAAAGAAGAGGAGAGAGGTATGATTTGAGAAATGAAAGGTATTCTCATCAAATATAACATGGTGAGAAACTATTAATTGTTTTGTTGAGATGGAGTGACAAAGATAGCCACAATGATTTGGTGGGTATCCCAGTAATACACATAATGTAGATTGAGGGACGAGTTTATGAGGGGTGGTGGAGGAAAGGTTCAGATAACATAAGCACCCAAAGGTGAAAAGATGTTGATAAGCTTTCGATTGTAGAGTATTTCAGTGGGAGTTTTCTTGCAATTGATGGTGGATGGTAAAATATTTAGTAGGTGGGTTGAAAGAGAGGGAGATAGAGAGAAAGGGGGAGAGAGAGAGAGAGAGAGAGAGAGAGAGAGAGCATAGTTCCAGTAAGAAGGAGGGATAGATGCTTGAATGAGATTTGTACAGATCATTTTATTAATGGTTCAGATAATGCGTTCTTATTTTCCATTTTGAGGGGAGGTATATGGACACAAAAACCAGAATTGGATCAATGAGTGATGCATAATTGATGGAAAGATGTGTTGTTAAACTCACAGACATCATCACACCATGGGTTTTTTATTTGTTTATGAAAGTGGGTTTGGATGTATTTGTGAAATTTCAAGAAAATTGAGGAAACTTAGGATTTTGATTTGAGTGTAAATGTCCAGATGAAATGAGCAAATTCATCAAGTAAGACTAAATAATATTTATGTCCTAACTGAGATGCAAGTGGTGATGTCCATAAGTCAACATGAATAATATCAAATGGAGAATAAGTAATAGTATGAGATAATGAAAACTATAAACGACAATGTTTTCCTAAAGAACAAGCATTACATGATTCATTATGTTTGAGTTTATTAATGATGGGTTTTATAGGTTACAAAACCATGTGCTAGTGAAATTTCACTTAACACTTAAAGGCACATGCAACCTAAGATATCTATGTCATAACACTTTGAATGTAACATACTATGAACAACAAAACTATTATTAATCCTAATGAAACCCTAATGTAATAAAAATAGATGAATTAGGGTTATATACATTTGATTTGTTGTAGCAAATAAATCACTTCAATCACTTGTGTTTGTTGTTCTTAGAAAGTTAGTACCAAAAAGATGATGCCTCTAATGGCTCACACCCAAAACTAGAAACCCTAGAATAAGGAGGGGATAGGATATACGAGGGAAATTTTGTTCATATGCTTATAGGTAATGTCATGAATGATATTTATAAGCCAAGGGGTCCTATTTATAGTTTCAGTAACTTTCATGAAAAACAAGATTTGAATTAATTAAATAATAGATTTAATCTTAATTCAAATAATTTCCTTTTATGCAACCAGGAGGCTTCCAGAAACCCTAGAAGAACTCCTAAACCTGCCCATGCTTGGATAGTTCTAGAATTGCCTCTTTTGTTCAACTACTGAACAATTACAATTTACTTCTTGCACTTTTAATTAATTCCAATTAATCACGAGTTAATTCCAGATTACTTCTGATTAATATTTAATCAATTCCAATTGATTTTAATTTATTAATCATATAAATTAACAAAATTAATTATCTAACGACTGATCTCATATTAATTTATTAATCACATAATAAATCAACAAATCAACTATCTATTTCCAATTAATATATTAATTATATATTATATTAACAAACCATTTTCCTATAATTTCCAATTAATTTATTAAACACATAATAATCTAATAAATTATCCTTATCTCTCTTAATACCATTTCTTGCTATTCTTGGTTATGAGGGCAAACCTAAAAGGACTTTGCTTCTAATTACAAGAGTATATCAATTTAGTTATTAGTTTAGACACCTTTATCCAACAAATACTAAATGGAAAATTGATAGAAAAAAGAAAATCAAACACTACAGATATGGGGTGATCGAGCCGATTGTGCCATGTTAATTGATGGAGAAATTGTATAAAAGCGATCGGTACGGATGAGGCCCTTGAAGGAAGAGGAAACAGGAAAAGGTCACCGGACCGTTACATCTCATGAGAAGTTGCTTCGTGTTGAGATCCTTCAAGGAAAAACCAAAATGATGAAATTCTATAG